TTGTATGAATTAGAAATTCAAACTACCAATATTGACAAGCTAGAATGTAAAATAAGATCTTATATTTTCTATTTCCCAAAATATCACTCATGTACTGAATCAAACACAGTGGCCCTCCACCTACCTCTTTCCATTTTTGAAAATGGTCCCTTATATACACTTACTTCTATATATGACATGAATAACCAATCCAAAGCTCAGAATGCCCTCCTAGTGGTTTTCTCAGCCATTTTGACTATTTATGTGTTAATTTTGTTCTTTTCATGCAGGATTTCAAACAATGAGGCAAGTCTTTAGTGAGCTTGAAATTTCATATTTTTTAGATCCAAATACAGCTTAGTTACTACGCTTGATAAATTATAGTGGAATTCTATGGTATCAATATAGTAATTTATGATTTTTTGGTTGTTTAAAATCTATATATAAAACCTAAAAAAATAATTTTCTTTTCACATCCTCCACGTGGGAAATTTCATAAAGCTTAGCAACCTGTGACAAGTGGCAAATTAGTACAAAGGTCATAATTAGAAGGGACAATTGTTTACTTCTTCTTTATTTACTGTTCTATGTTTTAAGAAAAAGAAGTTTAAGAACTTGTTTTTAAATAGTAATAATGTATATACATATATAATGTACAGTAATTGAAATGTGACTGTATTTTTCAAAATACTAGTTCACTAAAACACAGCCAAGACAGGTCAGTTATATATTACTGGATACACTAACATGAGTGCACGTGTGTCGCATCATTGTAACTTCTGTATTGTTAGCCAGGCACAGTTGGAAGGTCAATGTAATAACAATAATAAATATATATATAAATGTTTAATGTTATGAAATTTAAGCTATTTAGACTAAACATCTATGTTTTCATGTTATAATTTGTAGTTATTCTAGAACAAAAAAAGCATAATTTATATTTTTCTCCTAATTGTTTTTTTTTTTTTGAGGTTATGAAGTTGGTCAAATTGAACCAACCCGTACAGAAACACAGTAGTGAAAAATAACATATAATATAAAGTTTTTCTAAAAGAAATTTGATAATTAACTGGAGATAATAAAGATTTTGCATATGATATTTGAAAATGTTCTAAGGCATTAAAGTATTTTTAATCTTAAAATCAAAATTGCTTTGCATGTTGGATAGTGAACATTCTGAAAGAAAAAGTTTACAAGAAAATCTTTAATTAAAAAATCTTAATACTTAATTTAAAAACCTGATATTATGTGTACAAAAACCTTTAAATGTTTACCAATAACCTGCAAAATTTTATACAGATGTGCCTACATTATCAAAAATCATAGTATAATTACTCTCATGGATACTTTCATGATTACGAGCTGCGTGAATTCCACCCAGCCCATAATGGAAGGGTTAATGGTCTTCCAAACAAAGCAATATTGGGAATCTATTGTCTTTCATTCTGGCAAAATGCTTATCCTATCTCATTCTTGTTGCTTTGATGATATTTTTAATAGGAGTTAATCTGCTGATATCCACCAGTTGTTTGTTATGGTATCTTCTCCATCTGTTTTCATCTGTATCATTTTACTGGCCCAAAAACACTTTCTAAAACCATATTCTCAAAAACTTTGACTTCATTTTAAATATTTTGTAGTGAAAGACCATATTTGTTGTTCATTAAGCTTGCCAATGTTTCATCAATTCGAAGCTCTACTTAAGATTCATTAACAAGTGAGGTTTTTACAGAATAGAGTTGTTAGCCCTATTATGACCCTCTCCTTTTTATCTGGGTTTGGGACTAGTATGGGTTCCATAGCTGGATTTCTAGTTAAGGCAGCATATCTTCTTCTAACAAGGTGATTGGCTTGTGAGGTGTTTTGTTTTCAACTATAATATAGATCAATAGTTAACGGAGTTTAAGAAGGGGAATTGATAATTTCCTGGAAGATAAATGTTGGGTGTAAATTTTAAATTTTCTTAAGGACTGGTGTGAAAGGACAGTCTTGAAGCACCAAATGGTTTCTTGTTATCCATATGTTAAATTTCATAACAGTAGACTTATTTTGAAATTAGATTTAAGCTGTGACAAACATTATGACCATTTGAAAATTGAAATTCTATAGATACGGCTAAGCAATAATGAAAACATTTCACACTTTGAAGAATAATAAACACAAAAGGTACATGTACTGTAACAGTGTAAAGTTACATAAGAAAAGGCAAAGTGGAGATTGTCATCTCATCAAAAAACAACAACATATTCTACAACTTTAATTCGCTGTAAATATACCCCTTCACTTTCTTAGTCCTATACACATACTGTTCAATAAAATTCAACTAACAGCATATATATTTATTGCATCATTAGGCAAACCATTCTGTTTGTAACTGTATCATGAAAATAATTTGAACATTAAAGTCTACATTTAGGTTTTCAAATGCACTGAGTATTATAGAATAATTTTTCTCATATCATTTGTCCCTTCTTTTATTTTACGTTTACATTGTATAATTTATAAAAAATATATATTTGAAGTTATATTGTTTGTTATGAAAGTTTTTAGAATGGCAGAACTTCAAAAGATAATCTGTTGTTTAAAAGTTTAATTAAAAGTAAAATTAAAAGATGTTTGGATATTTTGCTTTACCAGGAAACGTGCTGCTGTCAAGAAACTCATTGAACAATATTATTATCAGTTGACGAAAGGATGTAGAAATCCAAGTTGTGCAAATGAATTTTGTGCCTCAAGTGGAAAAGTAAAAGAATTTACCCCTGATGAAGCAGCAGCTCAGGCTTTGCAACTTTTCATGAGAAAAGCTCACCTTTGTGGAGCTAATCCTTCAAAAATGGCCAAACTACCAAATCAGGGAATGTCTGAGTCTGTAAGTAAAAGATTTGGTCAGTATCAGGAAGACAATAAAAATGAAAAGTCTTCAAGAACAAATAACCATATCCCTTGTGATGATGACATAAGCTGTGATAGAGTTCATTCTAGTGTTGAAGAAAGCCCAATGGAGATTGTCTCACCTACACATCCCTCAACATCGGTCACACTGTTCTCAATAAATCCAGGTAATGATTCAAAGTTACCTAGATGTATAAAACCTGTACACATTTGCAAGTATTAATGGAATGATGTTACATGATCAGTCAAATTTTAATACACATGTACCTTTAATTTTTTTTTCTGATAGAGAGGTTGTTAAAAGTGCATATCAGTAGAACATATTTAAGTGTTTGTGTGTGTTTATTCTGTATCATATTAATGTTTTTGCATTTCCATTTGACTTGGAAACATTTTATAATATGAAAGCAGACGAGAAAAGTGGAATTTGTCTAACAATAAGATTTTCTTTGTTTTTCTCTCATTTCTTTTTGATGCATGTAAAATTTTGTCACTTCCAAGATACTTGACCTTTTCACACAGAATAGTATGATCAATTGCACATCTGCATATGAGACTTGCATGCCAATAGCCTTGAGCTAACTTCCACCTAAAAAACATGGGTTTAATGTGAACTTCGCTAGTGCTTGATGACATTGTCATGTAATGAAAACACCCTCCACCAATCGGAGGGTAACACAATCTCTCTGTAAAGTATCTCCACCGAAGTACTTGTGCTCGAAACAACAACATTCTTTTCCATAACATTGTCTTGAACAGATGTTTTAAAATTATTAATAAATTCTGTGAAATATGCAATATTTTACACAACTTTAAACTTTCACTCAAGTTTAACTGGTTTCTTTCACTTTACCAATAATAACACTTCCTGCCTATAATAAATTACAAACTCTTGTGATGGGGAATTCTACTTCATCCAATGATGAGGACTATCACATGGGACCTGTGGCTATTGAAGGTTCATTTTTCAATGTGTTATGGGTTCCCTCATGCATACAGGGCCTTCTTCTCCCATTTATTTGAATGATGTTCCGTCTTCCCATTTTAAAATGACCAGGATGACATTGATTTTGACCACCTGTTTCATGTGCCAGGATTTGCTCTAGGTACTGCTTTACTTGTAGAGGAAGGTCCTGACCTTTATGGCTTCTTTATTGACATGATTTTGCAGTTATGTTCTTTTCTTTCTCTTTACCCTGTGTCTTTCAATTCCATGTTCTTTACTCCACAAAACTCAAACACAAGAATACTTTGTTTCTTCCTTTGCTTGATATTAGGGACCATGCAAACTCATTTCTTGAACAACTGAACAACCCTACTCACATGCCTCATCTCCCCCCTATTTACTTGACTTTTCTGTCCTGGCTTACAGCCTTTCCTCATTTCAATTCCTTTGGAATCTCTCTTTACTTGCTTGGGCAGATGGAACCCTAAACTTTTATTTTACTTTCTATTGCCCACTTTTAATGCTTTCTTCTCTGTCTTACAACTCTCCTACATTACCTCTTGTCTCTTCACCTTATTTCTGAAGCACTTTATCATGCTTTGAAAGGGTTTTCTTGAGAGGTTCATTCCCTTCTGTTCACCAAATTAGCCTATACTACTTTCTCTGATCTATCCCTCCTTACTTGGTTCCTCTGTTGTTGAGATGCTCTCTTAACTAATGTTTGCCTGCCTTAATCTTATCTTCATAATCTTTGTTGGGCTCCCTTTCTTTGCCCAAAGGTCTTTAGGGGTATTCCTGACTCACCGAATACCTGGACTGAGGCAGCTTGGCATCAGTCTTTGTTGTCTACTTTGGTTTCTCATTTTTCTTAACCTTGTCCTTTTGTTAATGCTCTTAAATCTGTTCAATCCATCTCTCCCCTTCCCATTCCAGCTCCCTAATTTTCCCTCACGTTACAACATTAGGGTTATTGCTTATTTTTTCAGTGACTATCTTGTTCGAGTCTGGTTCAGTGGGGACCCATCTGTCTCAATTCACCAGCCTTTGGTCTCCATTTTCAGCCTACACATGGGTGTTTCAGGTTCTGACCCACAGCCTATTTCTCTACTCCTCCTCCTCCCCTCTTCCTTTTTCCTGTTTCCTTCTCCCACCAAGATAGTACTTTTGTTTCTATATGGTCCCAAATAAGATCAGGGACTGGCATTTGGTGTTTGACCTGTTGTCTATCAACTGGTTTCTAGTCCTGTGGTTCCATATGGAGAGTTTCTTTTCCCTCTGGTGTTCATTTTCACCTGACCTGTAAATGACCAAGGTCAGCATGTCGGATGCTTTTTTACACATTCCAATTGCCCCTTTTTCCAGACATTTTCTTCATTTTGTCTATCAGAATTGAGTTTTTTAGTTTCGTTCCTATCTTTTTGCCATTGTGTCTGCATTTCTCATTCAGTGAGCTGCATTTCTCATTTGCACCTTGAAATGAGATTCTTTTGCTTTTGGGGATTCTGATTTCCCTAGAACCACTCATTCCTTTAGGTCGTGTACATGTGCCATCTCCAGTGGATATTGCAGCATCACCAGAACCTTTCCTGTAATGAATTGTCTTCGATTGTGAGCCTTCTTTCTCCTCCTTTCAGGGTCTCGTTCTTGGTGGTTCAACTGTGCCATTACTACAGTAGAATCCATACCACTTCCCCTGACTGGATTTCCATTTTTTCACAGGTGATTTTCTGTTTGGCTGAGCTGCATTTCTGAATGATAACATGACTTTGGGTGTGTGGGCTCTGGAGAAGAGTTCATTCCAAATCAGCATTCTCAAAGTTCTCGTAGTCCATCATGCATGTTCCCATTTCCTTCCTCTTGTAGTGGATTGATTGGTCATGATCCACTCCAACAATTCCCTAGTAATTTCTTATATCAACTTTTAAGGTGTACCTATTTCAGGACCCTTTGCTTCCAAACAGTTGACCTGTTGTTTTGGGTTCATTTCCTCCTCTTTGTCTCCACATGTGCACTCACATTGATATGCAACACTTATTGTCAGGTCCTGTTGGTGGTGCCTCTTTGGACTTCACAACCCTGGTTTCCTCTGCTTTGTCTATTGGCCTCCGGGCCCCCTTCTTCCTCTTTCTCATTCCCCCTTTTTTTTCTCCAACCTCAGATATATCTCTTTCACTCAGGGGTGGGATTTGTCCAGTCTGTCACTCACAGGGCTGGATTCTTCACTCATAAAGACTTCTTCTTATCCCATTCCTGTCATACTTCAACTTTGTCTGTCTATCAACAGAAGGGGTGAGGTTTTGACATTAGTCCATCCATTACTCCCTTCCTCCAGACCATTGTACCATAGCCCACCTTTAAGCCTTCTTCACATAGTTATTCAACCATGGATTGTCAGTTTTCATGATTATTGCTTATCGGGTGGCTTTATCAACTACATTTCACCTTTCCCTTTATCACCAAGTATTTTATTCCTCTGTTCTTTCTAATTTGTTCTGCTCCTTTCTTCTTCACTGACCCCATTATTCTAATCCCATGCCTGACTGAGACCTCGATTTGGTTTTACATGGTCTCACATGTGCCTCTTTCGAGCTGTTGGCTTCATGCTCTTTATATCATCTTTCTTCCTCCTTCTTCTCACCTGTGGTTGCATTGTTTTGAAAGTCTATGCCATCAATGCTTCCCACACTGTTTTAACATTTTTATTTACCCTTGTACTCATGTCAGGCCTTTCTTCCTAAGACTTTAGTGGCTTGGGAAGGTGATTATTCTTCCCCTCATATCTCCCTCTCTTCGATTTCTAACCTCTTTGCTCATTCGGACCAGGACTGTTTTCTCTGTTTGATGTTACTTGGACATATGTCTCCGTTTTGGGGTTCCTGTCATCATTTGTTTCTGCCCTGAGACCCCTCTTTGTCCAGGGATGACTCACCCTCTACCTTTACTGGTTGGATGCATCAGTTCCTCCAGTTGGTTTATTCTTTTTTCACATTTCATCTCATTAGATTCAACTCTTTTGTCTTGTTTCCACTGACCCTTGGACAAGATCCTTCAGGCTGGCATGTGGACAAATCTTCACATGTTCATCTCTCATTGTTTTCATCTCTTGCAGGATTTCAACTCCTTCCAGTCACTATTCTTCAGTCTACACACCATCTTTGAGATGGGTGTGTACATTTTCTTTTTCATCACCATCTTATATGATGCTCCTAGGGTATGCTTATTTCCCAAAATATGTGTGGGTCAGGGATAACAGAAAGTACTCAACCAATGCCCACTGTCAAGATGGGATGTTCTGCAAAACCACTAGAAGTATCCTTGTGGTATTAAAATTATTTAGTTGCCTGATTAAGACCATACCTTCCATGAACTATCAGGGAAATAGTTAGTATCAAGGAAATGACTGTCCACTTAGTTGGCTCACACTTGCCAGCTTTTAAATATAGAGTTCCATGGTCACCAATTCAACTGTTTACAGTAAAAGACCTTTCGACAGATGTTTGATGGGGATCCGGACACTTCTCCAGGCCTCTCCAGTGTAAATTATATTCCCCCTCCTCTATTCAAGTAGAGCACAGGAGACCCTTAACCTTAGGGTGGTGGATCTTGAAGGGTACCTCACTGATTATATGCAACACAATATGGTGGGAAATAGGGCAGTAATGGCATTGTTTGTATAGGTCAGGGCCGAGTACTCTTTACTGCGCATGACACAAAGTTTTAGTGTCTTACATTCAAAATTTTATTAAACTACTTTTTGTTTATGTTATACCAATTAGAATAGCATAGAATCTTAGCTAATAATCCATATTTCAATAGTATTCATGTTTTAAGTTATTAATTGTACAAGGAAATAAATAAAAAATCCTGAAATGCCGCTAGTGCAACACACGTGACACATTTTGTCTTAGCATGTCATCACCCTTCAAAAATGTATGAAATTAAATGTAAAATACACTCTATAAAACCGTTATTGCTGAAACAAACCATAATTTTTATAAACTTCAATTTTGTTTGGTTACAGAACTATTCAATAGAAAATCAGACCCCTCCTGCCACACCCACTTGTCACATCCTCTCTTTCACAATTCGTTGATAGTTCTCTCGTACGTTTCATTATATATTACTTATAACCAATAGAAAGTCAAGATTTTAATCTATCAAATGACGTATTGTATAACATTGTATTCTGAACAGAATATTGTTAATTTCACTCACAGTACA